CAGGTTCAACCCCACATAACGAACAACCTGACACTGTTTTCGGGGGCGTGTCCGGCGGGCTCTGCACACAAACGACGTCGGAAACAGGACGTTCCCAACTTTTTGCTTCGACTTTCGCCTCGAAAAAACTTGGGCGGGAAGCTTCAAAAACACTCCCCGGGTCAAAAAAACATAAAATTGAAGCTTCCCGCCCAACGAATGTGGCCAACTAAAACAACAACAAAACATTTATAAAAGATGTTACTGGACGTTGTTGAAATCATGAACGTCGGGTTGTACAAAAAAACGACGGCGCTCGATCTCCACTGGAATCAGGGGCTCACGTGAGTCACCCCGGGACGCACGTCGTTGAAAGCCCAGCCTCGAAGCGTAACGTTGAAAGCCCAGCCTCGAAGCGTAACTCTTGGCTAGTGGGACTTGACCCCTGCGCAAGGATGACACGCATAAAAAAATATATATATCGTCATATATATATATATACTGAACAACTTTTTTTTGTTTTGTTTTTTGTTTTGGAAGTGCAAGTGTTTCATTACAAAGCCAAGGACAGGGGCCCGGGAATACACCCCACAAAACAACCCGGTACATTGACATGCTGGGGCCATTACCCAGCTTTAGGCTCCTGGAAACCGGGTCCAGTGTCCCTTAACTTCCAAAAAGAAAAATTAATTCATAAACGGAAGAGCGCTGCCTCACCGATAGGCTAATTCCTCTGAATGCTTCATTCCCATTCAACTCAGTACTACCGCACTGTCTGCACCAGGCAGCTCTTCTAGGAGAACCAAATGAGATCTATCCTCGATCTCTTCGCTAAGTATTTTAACCGTAAAACTCGTGGTCTACACTCGGCCTCCAATCTCCATTATGTCATATTAACATAGCCATTTAGAGACTTGCAATTTCACTTCGGGGCTAGTTGAGGCCAGGAAGCCTTTTTTAGAAAATCCTAAGCCAGAAAAGGTGAAGACTGCTCATGTTCAAACTTACTACCAAAACAAAAACGAAATCCTATTTACTTCGCCACCAACTCTGAAAACCTAAACTAAAACCCAATCGGTAGGCCAGACAGAAAACAAATACCTGCCAAAATGTAACGAAAACAAGCCATGAAACAAGATGAGAAGGACCACTACGAAGCTCGAGTCGAAAAAGCCTATGAAAGCAAGACTGCAATGAGCTCAGCTTCCGACAAAAACGAGCCACACAGCTATACACCCCTACTATTCAGACGAGATCCCTACCTCCCACAAACAGGAAGAACAATGCAATTCTCCCCTAAATAAGCAGCAACCTGAAGAGAGTAAGCCTCGTGGCTGACGACTCAGACGAGAAGTCACGTCCAGGCCGAGGCTGTCAGACCCACTCATCAAATTTGAACCCCAGTTCACAGTTGCCACGTCAGCAAATTTACACCAACACTTGGTGCTAAAAAATGTCATGGTGACTCAATGAATCTGGCCTAGAGCTGTGACTGAAGGCCCTTCCTGTACTAGTCTTCATCTTCGGCCAGGTACATGAGGCAGGCCTTCCCACAGAGGATGGGCACTCCCACAGAGGAGGTTACGGACACTCCATGAAGTATGATGCTGCGTCGATGCAAGTATATGCATGAAGCAATCAAGGGAAATCCCACATCAGCGTGCCAGTAATCAATGATTCTGTCCCACGAACAGGGCAAAGTGAAAAGCAAAGGAATTGAAATATCCTACCAAGTCCCTAAACGCTAGAAATAAAGCAAGCTAAGCCTCAATTCAGCGTCATGGTGACAGTAACAATGAAACCTCCTAACAAATAGGGTCGAAGGGAAGGTGCAACTATATGCGATAGGAAGAAGATGAACCTCATTCACATGCGCTAAAGCTACGTCCACGATTCTAACCAACAGATACGGCCAACCACAACAACTTAGGAACTCAGATCAATGGTTCTATCTAATAACTAGGCCAGTAACAGAACATCGAAATTCGAATATTTAACATAACCCGAATTTCTTGTAGGATAGTTCGAGCACAGGCACGCGAGCGGCTGGTTCTGATTGTTAAGTGCACAATTACTGCGACTATTACTGTAGAGTCTACATTCAAGTAACACGCTACGCACGATTCCCCCACAGCAGTCGACAATTATTACACCTCCCAACATGCTGTGAAATTAAGTGCATCTAGTCTTGAATCGTACTTAGATGCAGAATTTAGAGAGTGTGATTTTACCGAAAAAGTGTCATCCGTCCTAAAAAAATTATGAGATGAAAGACAGCTCGCTATAGAATAACCAAAGTGAATCAAGCCTAGATTTACAGCTAGGAGCAGAAAAATAGCCATTGAATATGGCCCGAAATTCCGGCTACGTGCTCCCGAAGGGGTAGCTGATATTCCACTGGCCAATATGGTCTCCATTCTCCACGCAAATCTTCAGGGGACGTTGAAACAGGAGCCATAACTAGATGCGCCTGAAGAGTGGCAAATAACTGACGCTAGCTCTTGGCATGCTACTCCCAACATCGCTCCCACCGCAACGGTTGGCTCTCCCACTGCCTCAGGAAACGCCGAGTTGGAAGCGCTGCTGCCACCCATCAAACTCCCTGCGTCTTGAAGTCTTGGCATCGTCTTACAATAGGTATCTCTATGTGGGTCACGATGTATACATCCCAGAATTGCAGATAGGTACAATCTTCTTCTCTGCTTTGTGCTCCTGCTACACAGACGTGTCTACAGAGAATAGTGAAGTTCAGTAGCACTTTAAGCAGGAACAGTATACTTGTGAAAGTGTAAGCTGAGGGGAGGGGCCGCTGGGTTGGCCTCCGCCCATTCAAGCAGCTGGAGGTACCAACACCATAGCAGAGGCTATGGCTGGCCATACAGTCACACGGTCTCTCGTTCGAAGTCTCTATAGCTCCACTGTCCGTGTAAACCAGCGCAAAGCACGCCGTAGATACTGGTGACGTTCCCACCGCCCCCTGTAGGTCTCCCACTCCTACGGGAAGCGCCGCTACCGATAGCAGTGGCATTTCACGCTGTCCCCATAGGAGACTAGCTTCTTCCTGCCCCAAGGTCTTCCCAAGGGGAAATGCCGTACGGACCATACCGCACGGAAGCTGATGTCACATCTAAAGAAGGTCGATAACGACGATGTGCACACCACATGCCGGGTGGCTAGCGACCTCCAGTGCCAACCTGCTTAGTCATCTCGGGACTCCCGAGAGTCGTGATGGTGTAAAGCCTTGCATTAGCGCAGGATTAGCGCACAATAAGCGCACTAAGCGCCGCCGCGCGGCCGGCCGGTCTGGCTGTTTCTTTTGATTTCGTCACCATACTGAACAACTTTTGCCTCAGAGTCACATCGAAATTCTTTACAGAATTCGAAAAAAAAAAAAAAAAAAGATTTTTTTTTTTTTTTCATTTTTTGCCCGGGGCTGCTCTGGCAGGCTGTGGCAGCCTACAGTAGGTTCATCAAGGAAACTTGCATGACTTCGTTGTGACAAGCTCCTCGTCACGACCGGGTTCATTACATTCGTCTCGTTTTCGACTTTTGAGAATTCTTTTACGATCTATCACCAGGGTTAAAAAAAAAAAGTATGGGCAATTCAGGGCATACTCAGGGCGTCGTTCGACACTCCTCGGGGCATCCTCGGGCTCCGAGGATGAATCCTCGGAAAAGTTTAGGGTTTTTGTCGTCTTCGATCCACTCATCCTCGGAGCATCGGTTTTAGGACTCATCCTCGGAGCAATGTCAGAAAAATAAAAGGAAAAAAAAAAGAAAAAAAGTTGTGCTTCAGGCTTTCAGCCAATAGGGTGCCGCCACGATCAGAATTCTCGGTTGTAACGTCTCTCTACGTGCATGCCCTCTCCTCTCCGTGAAACACGGATCCTCGGGCTCCAAGGGACCTCGCGAGGTCCCTTGGAGCCGAGGACGATTTGGCTGGGAAATCCTCGGAGCCCAAGGATTTGTCGTCGGAGTGTTTTCACATTTTCATTTCCGATTTCATCCCCGAGGACAGGTGGAACGAAGACGAAATCCTCGGAATCGCGTCCCCGAGGAGTGTCGAACGACGCCCTCACACAGGGGACTTTCTCTACAAAGCATAGCTGCATAGAAAAAGTGCTGAGTTGTCACCCCCTCAAACCAACCACGTCGCCTATTTACGGCGTCCTACCGTCTTCGCCCGAATAGAACGCCTGGTCATTGAAGCCGTATTTGGTGCACTTTCCACCGCAGATATACAGCTATTATAATGACCGGGGGCCAAGTCCCACTTACCCGAATGATCGATTTCTAACCACAGATTTGGAAGATCAACGACCCGAAATCAAGGATCAGCGTAAGTGGGACTTGGCCCCGGGCGTTCTATTCGGGACAGGACAGCTTCTCATGCATACATTACCCCTCCTCGGCAGACATCGCGGCATCCTTCACGTCTCACTCAGCCCCTCTCCCGGGGCAAGGTCCCAGTTGGGCAAATTAGGAGATAATTTCGGCCGTTGATCTTTGCAATCTACTGTCAGTATCTCTTAATTCGTGCAAGTGGGACCTAGCCCCCGGACACACAAATCTAAAGACACACCGTACCGGGGGCTAGGTCCCACTTAAACGAATGAAGCGATATTGACCGTAGATAGCAAAGATCAACGGCCAGAATCTCTTAATCCGTGCAAGTGGGACCTTGCCCCGGAGCATCAGAACACAACATTTTTCTACAGCTCAGAAAGGGCCTCGCTCCACTACACAACACTCTCCATGCATCTGGGAACTTTCCCGACCAAGTGCATTTGGACGAGTCCAACGTTATCAATGCATCAGGTCCACAAAGCACCCAAATGCATGTCGAGTGCTGTGTCGCGGAGCGAGACCCAAAGACTTGCAAAATACACGTGCATGCACGTGTACCTCCGCCCATTTTTTTTTTTATTTTAATTTGGACCATTTCTTCTTCTTTTTTTTTTTTTTCTATATTCTTCTCTCAACTTCGGTTTCTTTTTTTTTTTTTTTTTTTTTTTTTTAAAGCACTTATTATGTATTCATTCAAAAGGGAGGCCGGCCACCTCACATAAAGACCGGAGCTGGGAGCATTACCCAGATTCGCTTATGACTGATAAGAAAACTCCCGTTAACTCCTGCTGACCGCTCAAACTTCAAACTCCACCTTAGCTACTGACCTACCCTCGTCACTACACCATTTACCCTACAACCCTTCCTTCTGCTACCCCTGAATTACCCCTCCCATTGACAAGTCTAACCCACCCCAGGACCCCCTCCTCCCAGACCCAACCAGCCCTTCCCCCCCCCCCCCCCCCCCCCCCCCCCCCCCCCCCCCAGCCCCCCACCTAAACTACCCCCGCCCACTAAGCCCCCCCCCCCAGGGGTCTACTAACGGCCCCCCAGAGGCATTCCACCTCGGTCCTACCCGAATGCCACTCTCACACCCAGGCTAGCTGAGTATGCTACCGACCTACCGCGGTCCTACCTCCACCGAGCTAGCCAGGTGGATCGAACTCTATTCGAAAACTGACTACCGTTATGACGCTGAGGACAGATGATTTAACAGCCGTGCCGGACTGGGGTACCTACAACTGCAGCCATGGTGCGAGGACCAGTTCCCCTTCCAGAGTGACTGCTGCCAGTTGATTGCTCCTTGCCCATGTGAACAGGAACCACCTCCTCCCTCTCGCAGTTCTCCCCCTGTCCGTCTTGCGGACCCAGTCTGCCAGGATCATTGTCTGGACCATTCTTTTGATCTTGTTCTTGCAGGCAGCATCCGAGGTCCATTCGTTTCTGAAGAGGATATTGTTTCGGTCCTCCCAGATCACCCACATGATAGCTGCTCTGATTGCTTGGGCCATGTAACCCCAGCCAGACTTGCTGAAGAAGGAAGGAGGGAGCTGACCTGTCAACACCCACTTTTCGTCCCATGGCATGACAGCGTTTATCTGTTGCCAATGCTGTGCCCACCAGTCCCAAATACGCCTGGAAGCCGGACAGTCCCAGATGAGATGGCGTAGAGTTTCTTCCTGTCTGTGTCCGCATCTCCTACACATGATCTCTACTGGCATTCCTTTTTTCCGGAGCCAGGCTGCCGTTGGAATAGCAGAGTGTGACAGTAACCAGAGGAGGCCTGAAAACTTCAAACTGGGAAGAGCTTGAAGTTGAGTCCACACTTTGCACACCTCCTTGGGGAGAGGTGGGGTGGGCAGCTGCAGCTGTTCTGCCATCCTAGAACAGGTCTCCCGGATTGCAGCCTGTGGAGGGATCGCCAGTATTCTCCGGCCTAGCTCTGAAGTATATTGAGCCAGGCATTTCTTCTTACCCTGCCCCAGGTCCCAAATAATACTCCCTGGGTCCAACCTGAGATCTGTGATTGCTGCACCTCCTTGGATCAAAAGCGGATCCTTTCCGCGTTCATCCCCTCCCTGACTTACCTGCACCACCCTCACTGCCGTAAGAGGAGTGTCACCGTCCACCACTAATTCCCCCCGGCATACCAGGCAGTTTTCCTGTGGATCAGCAGACTTCAAGCCCCATCGTGTAGCTCTCCAATCTTCGTCATCCAGCTGGTCTTCCAGCCTGAGTACCTCACCTTGCTGCTCTCCCTTATACCAGTGGCCTGACTTACCACATCCCTTCTTTCACAACAGCTCCACCCAACCTCCTGGAATAGCATTCCGCAGTTGCACCACTCTGTCCTCTACGTTCCTCAATCTACCTAAAGTCCTCCTAATTAAACTTACTTCCTTCCAATCCATTGCATCTTCCTCCCACAGACCACGGACCTGCGATATCCCCTTCTCTATCCACCGCCTCCCAAAAGCGCCAGCATGCATTGATGCCGAGAAGACCGCACCGTCTGACTGCTTGATGGCTTCGTTCTCAAAGAGCGGCTGGATAAGAACCTCTTCTCTGATCTCTGGAGGCTTGGTTTGAGGTGGCCGAAGTTTCCTCCAAGCAATCCACCAGGCGAGCCCAATTGCCGATTTTGGGCGCCGCTGCAGAAAGGAAGTGACTTGCAAGCATACCCATACATCACCAGGCCTGTTCAGATGAAACTCATACTGCAGAATATACAGCATTATTTCCAGCCAACTTCGCTGGTCCACCTGCGTGGCTATCTTGTATATCCATTTGCCGATCAAAGCCAGATTTTGTTTCTCTGGATCTACGATCCCCAAACCCCCATGGTTTCTTGCCTGTGTTACCCTTCCCCAAGCAACTTTCGAAATGAAGCCACCCTGATCTTCAGCTTCTGGCTTCCACAGGTACCGGGCAGCCCCAGTTTTTATCTTCGCCAATGTGGCTCTTGAAATAAGAACCACGGCTGCTGCGTACCATAGGATTGAGAAAACTGAGGCAGTGATCACCGTTGCTCTCCCCATGAGTGAGATGCCCTTAGCCTCCTTGCACCTCTGCACTCTGGCTTCAACCTTTCCCGAGAGAATGCTGTCTTGAGCGGGACGACTGTTAGCGAGTGAGACTTGGACCCCGAGATACCGTTCGGAGTCGAGTTCGCTGATCCTCTTCATGGACCAATCCTCTGGTAACTCATATTCCCGAGGCAAAAAGTAAACTGACTTATCCCAGTTTACTTTTGCCTCTGAAAGAGAAGTGTATTGATCTATTAGTGCCTTGGCCGCGCCCATTGACCCCGGAGTGGCCTCCGAAACCAACAGCAGATAATCGGCGATCGTCCCCACCACCACTTCTGCCCCCTCATGCAGCTGCAGTCCTCTGATACAGGGAGACACTCGTATGGCATTCAACAGTACTTCCATTTGCACCACGAACAGCCGGGGGGCGAGGGGGCACCCCTGTCTCAGTGACTTTGACAGGTGAAAAGCTTGGGAGCGTTCCCCGTTCACCAAAACTGTAGCTTTGGATGAACCGTACAGTGCTGTCACCCACCGCCGAAAGAGGCTCCCAAAACCCATGTGTTCTAGAGTGGCTAAGACGAATGACCAGTTCACCCGGTCATAAGCCTTTTCCAAATCTAGCATGGCCACAGCTACCTGCCTTCTCTCCCTGCCTACCACCTCGAGCGCTCCTATGGCTACCATAATGTTCTCTGAAATTGAACGTCCCTTCATGAATGCTCCCTGATCCGCGCCCACTAGCCCTGGGAGAATCGCAGCTAGGCGTCTAGCAAGAGTTTTCGCTAAAATTTTATAGGAGACGTTTAGGAGCGATATCGGCCTCCAGTTCCGGATATTCGTTTTATCGCCCTTTTTGTACAACAGCGTGATGACCCCTCTGCACATATCTTCCGTGAGTGGGTGCCCTTCGAGGACCCTGTTGTACAGTCTTAGTAAAAGAGGGCCAGTCTGCTCCCACGTCGCCTCGTAAAACTCAGCAGGTAAACCATCATCCCCCGAAGATTTGCCTTTCGCCATGCTCCTGACTGCCTCCCCCAGTTCTTGTAGGGTCAGTGGGCGGTCCAAACTCAGTCTTTGTGAGACCTCCAGCGACTTATCCGTGTATTGCCACAGGTCCACCTCATCTTTCATGGACTGCAGAGACTCCCCCGGCTGCCGACGAGAGGTTAAGATATCTTGATAATACAGTGTGGCATATTCCGCCAGTGAGACCGTGTCCTCTGCAACGTCCGCGTATGCATTGAATGGATGCTGCAATGCACGAATAGTCCTCGCCCAGACCTCTTGTTGTTTTATATGGATAGCCTCCCATTTCCTCATCCATGTGTCTCTTCTTCGTTCCCAGTAAATGTCAGAGTACGGATCCTTCCCAATTTGGGCCTCCGCTTCCTTCACCATACGACGGCACTCCAGCTCCTCATCCCTGCGGTCTTTAGCTAGGATGCGTGAGAAGACATACAGGGCACTTGTGACAATCCGGAACCCCATCTGGAGTCATTCTTCCTCCGACTCGAACCAGGACTTGGTTCCCTCCCAGACCTCCCAGTGATGTTTACACCACTCCAATACCTCCTTATTCTTCAAGTTTTCCGTGCTGAGCCTGAAAAATCCTTTTCCTTTCTGCAAGTCCAGGCCCAGCCTGAACGAGACCTTCACTAGGTAGTGGTCAGACAGCGGTTGCGGGTCAACCTCCGCGCAAGTAACAGCTTCCCAGGCTTCTCCTCTTGTCAGCACCAGGTCTAATCTTCTTCTTGGCGGTTCTCTGTCTTCATTCCTTTGAGACGAAATCCATGTGAAGCCTGCATCCTCTGGGTTAATGTGCCTAAACGTGTCTGTGAGGCCCTGCGTCTCCATGAACTGCTCCAGCAGGACTGCATCCGTTCTTCTGGGAGCTTCCTGTGGCGAATCTAAGCCAGGTTGCAACACCGAGTTGAAGTCTCCCGCCATCACCAAGTTTGCTGCTACCGGGGTGAAGTTCGGCAGGTCCCTAAAGAAGGATCGGCGCTCAGCAGGCACGGATGGGGCATACACCGACATCAGGGTCCATTCCTGGCCCCCCATTCTGATCCTGACCCAAACCCACTGACCCCAAATATCGAAGTCACTTTCCAATACCTCTACCTCCAGCTTACGATGGAACAGGATGGCGATGCCGCCCCGAGTGCCATCTGCTGGGGCCCACCACTGAGGGTCTTTCCACCATTTCACAAATCGGTCGATTTTGAGCTCGTCCATCTTGGTTTCCTGCAGAAAGATTATCTGCAACCGGTTTTGGTGAATCCAGGTCCTCAGCCTTGCCTTCTTCTGTCTGTCTGCAGAGTCCCCCAAACCCCGGACATTCCAAGTTGCCATCACTACTCTATCCATTCGAAGCAGGGGGGCCGGCAGTCGATTGGATCCGACGTTCGTCCCCTACTGACTTGCTGCTCCCTTTCCTCCTTCGCCCCTGTGCCTGTCCTTCCTCCTGTTGGCTCTCCCAGGGGGTAATAAGCAGGTTCCTGAAGTGGGGGGTCCATGGCTTCTTATCGCCGGGTAGGGATTTAGAGAAGTCTGCCACCAAAGTCGCCTTCACACTGCCCACCAAGTGGATTCTCGTGGCTTCGTCTGACGTGTCAGAATTGAACCACTGGGGCGGTAGCCAGTGGATCCCCTGGCCTTCCAGAGTGTTAGCACATTCTTGTGTAATCTTGATATCCACGAAGGCTAGGTGAACCTGCACACTGGCTTCCTCCCCAATGTCCACCGATTTCCTCCCCACTCTTATCCCTGAGATGAGTCTGAACGGGAACCGGCCCACAACAAACTTGTCCACTGCTCCGCGTAACTGATCCTTCGTGCCTGGGAAACTGTCCACATGCACTGCGGGGAGGGCAAACTCGCCTGCCCGCGTCTTGCCCGCCAAGACCTTGATGCCCTGAGGGGCCAGTGATGTATAGAAGAGGACCACGTAGTGGTGACCCATCCCATGACTCGTTTGCTTGGCTCCACCTCTTGTGCCTCCTGCCTGCGACTGAGATGGGGGCTTCGGCTTTGGTGGGGACAGGATATTGAAGAAGTCGACCTCTCCTTCCCCGTCCTCTGCTTCCCTCGTGGGTTCACTAGTTCCTTGTTCGCCCACTCTTCGCGTCTTTATCGGAGCGAGGAGAGAAGTTTTGCTGCCTGGATCCCTCATGATTTGGTCTGGTTGCGGAACTGCTGGAGCATTATCTTCAATCAGGATTCTTTCTCTAACCTGGATTTGTGCTGAGTTCTCTCTTGCTACCCCTTCCATTCTTTCCACTCCTCTCGCTAATCCCCCTTCTGCTTCTACTGTCTCCCTTCTGTTTTCATAATCAAATTCAGAATTGATGTGTACTGTCACATATGCCTGGTCAGGGCCGTGGACACTCCTCCTCCCTCCGCTCTGCTTCTCAGTTCTCCACTCATCCTGTCTCACCCCTGCCGGGCGTGGCCCTCCCCATGGGACCAAGGTCCTATCAGACCCATTGTAGTCTGGTTCAGGCTGGGGCCACTGGTATGGAAGGAGAGCTGAACTCGAGTTCCCCGGAGGTCTTATAAGTTGTTGACTGGTACCTGTTCCCCACGGAGTCATTGAGAAACTTGGAGTGATTGGTGGATACGGCCCCGATCCGTCAGATAACACGGTCCTCATCACGGGCGGTGGAGGTAGCGGGGGGGGCTGGTGAGGGTCCCACCCGTTCCCTGCCCCCGACTCTACTCTCCCCCCACCCCAAATCGGCGCCATGTTTAACCCCGGCTGCTGTTGGTCCCTCCTCCCCTGGATTGGTGTAATTGCCAATGCTAGTGGATTCCTCGTGATGTCATTCATCCCCAACATATTCATTGGGCTCGATTGTGCGCCACCAGTGTCGCCTCCCGCTCCCCCTCTCGCCCCTCCACTCACATTCAATGTCGACGTTCTTCCCTGAGGAATAAGAGGTAACGCAGGTATCGTGGTTACCATACATGTTGCAGTGGATTGTGCCGCAGCTGGAGCCGAGTGTCCCATCGTCACTTGACGAGGATCATGAGGATCGTGGTCGGGCTTGTGGTACCCTATTTGGAGAGGTCTGGCAATGGTGGCCTGGGGGGCCTGGGATGCTGAGGCATTTGCAGGGGCCGGGGCTGGGCCCTATGGAACAGTCCAACCCCCCTGCCTTTCCCTAGCTCCTCCTGTCCCGCCCCCTCCTCCTCTCGCTGCACTATCTCTGCCTCCTTCGTTTCCGAATCTTCCCCCCACTGGGGGCCTAGCCTCCCTGCCTCTGCCTCCTCTACCTCCTCTCCCCCTCCCTCTTCCACGACCTCTCCCTGCTCTGTCCTCCGTCATAGGTTCATTGAAATGAGGGCACTCAGTATCGAACTCATCATGGAACCACCATAAACATTTGTTGCAGAAGGGCGAGTCTTGGTTCGCGAATTGTACCTCCAAATGCCCTCCTCTTGGCTTTTTCACCACCACCCATTCCATGAACGTTTGACGTACTTCCGGTACACAGTCAATTCTAATGTTACCCAGCCTTGGTTCTTCTGGACGTTTCTCAGGCGGATGCATCACTAGGATTCTTCCCATCAGACACTCGATTGCATAGCGAAGAGATGGAAGGGCTTCGAGAGGTACCCTCAATGCAATGATCCGGAATTTGCCCGCTCTATCAGATTCTCTCATTTTGTCATCCAAGGTTTAAACAAAACCTTGATTGTGCCGTTCCTGGAGGGAATGCGATCCTCTCTTTTCATGATCATCCACTGCGCTATTCTCTCCAATCTTGCCACGTATGCCATGATGTTGGGACCCTCCCCATGAGTCCTCCCTCTCTTCTGAGAAGGATTCACCGTAGCGTCTGTGTACCACGCGTCCTCGTATATCATAATCAGTCTCTCCCGCTGGTTGACGCTCAAATTTATTGTCGGCTCGTCAAAAATGACTATTACTGTTCTAGACTTCAACCAGGCGACTGTCGCGTCGTCCACCTCATCCCTAAGTGTAAGGACTCCCACCCCATCGACTATCTCTGTGTCTACGAAATTAATGTTCGCTTCTGGAAAAATCCCCTCATCGTAGCATTTGTCCAATAAGAGTCTAATCCGATCGCTCTCACTTTCTTCTTGAGCATTCGCCGTTGGTCTATTCGAAGATTCACCTCTCGCTGACGTTGAAGGCCCGGCTCCCAATTGTACGGGTGGCGCACTAGGTGCTGAAGCCATCGCAAATAGAACGGACGGACAACCACGGGCCGCTTCCCTCCTGCTGGTCTTCGACAACCTCTCCCTCCAAGTCTTCACTTCGCCAGCTTACGTGCTCCTTGGTCTTCGCTTAACCCTATGTCCTCGAACATCTAACTACTGTTCCTCTTCAACGACGTGAGCACTAAGCGCGCCACGTCAATCCCACATTTAACTCATCATCTCAACAACACACCGTAACCTCCGTCGATCTCGGTCGCTGCCCCGCCTCCATACCTCCCTACTCTACGAGAGGGTTTGACCTGGCCATAGCCGGGTAGGCTTCGGCAGAACCCCGTCTCCCGGCCGTGTGCCGGGTTCCGGAGTCAGCAACACCGGTTCTCCCGAACCGGTAGGGTTCGGCGGAGCGCTCCTGCGCCCGGCGTAACGCCCGTCCCATCCCCCTCCAATTTGCGACTTCTGTTTCTTTTACCTTCCCTTTCCTACTCCTAAGACTATCTAGAGGGGACCCCTGCAAGCATAGTTTCCTCTCTCTGTGAAGGGGAGATTTCATGTTGCCCCTTGCCCCTAATGGTTAGGGTATAGGGTTGGGGCGGCCAGTGGGGGTCTGGCTAACACAAAGACCGAGACCTGCCAGTAGCTGTGCCTCCCTTTCTCATCGTCCCCCACCCTTCATCGAGTAGCAGCAGAGGCTATGGCCAACACTCTTCCACACACCACACACAACCCACTCGCACTCACACTCACACCCGTGTTGGTCATAGACCCCGCTAATACCGATCAGGGGTATCCAGAGGACTATCACAGTCCGTTGGCCCTAAGTGTGCCACAGGCGGCCATGGGGCTTGAACCCACAACCTCCTGAATGCCACTTGCATGCCTAACCAACTGAGATTTGTGTGTGTCATCCTTGAAAGCGCAGGGGTGAAGTCCCACCGCCCAAGTTTAGTTTAGAAAAATTCATTAGAATTAGAAATATCAATGAAATTATTAGTCTATTTATTTTATTCTTCTATTTTTTTTAGATAATAGTCTTTTATTTTATTCATTTKATTCTATTAATTAGCATATCTTCTATTTTTTCTAATTGTAATTGACGTATTAGATTTTGTTGGTTCTTCAATATGAATAAATAAAAGAAGAAATTTCTCTAATAGAATATTCTTTAATATCTAATATTCATACTATTCTAAGATTGTATCTATTACAAGAKTCTGTTTATTTATCATTGTATTGTATTAGATAATGCTCTATCTCCTTTACTTTGCTCTATTGAATTTATTGTATTATAATTGCTTGTAATTACTTACAATATTTACATATAATTAATACAATTATTTAGAATATTTGCATATAATATGTATGTATTCATATTCATATTCTTTTCTATATAAATTGAAATATAAGAACTAGAAACCGTGTGACACCTTTTTTTTTTTTTTTTTTTTTTTTTCAACCGAAATCTCCGTTATTCATATTCCCACAAATCATAATCTCGAGGCCGGGGACCTCACAATTCTACCCGGAGTTATCCCGGCAGCATCAGCCGGTTTAGCTTATAGACTTGAAGGCTGCAACTTCTCTCGTAACTGACATATACTCTCTATCCTCTAAACAGTTTATCCTATCCATTGCCTACTACTAATTAAACACTGATCTTGAACTCCTATGCTTACCTCCACCCCGAGTAGAACAGACCATTGGACCCCTAGCTCCAAAGAGTAGATCTTATCAACTGTGTTTTCGAACGTCTCCCTAAGATATTACCTCCTACCTGTACTATAGCTAGCCTACTAACTAATAACTAATAACTAATTCACAGGCCTAATACGGCCTGATACCGGTCTATACGACCGGTGGAACCAAGGTTCCCCGTCTCTCTGGCACTCTCCACCCTCCACCCCTTTCTGACCTACTGTGGTCTGAACTAGAACCGAGTACCCTGGTTCTACCTACTGCAACTATCCAAACCATTTGAGCCCCTACACCCGCACCCCTCTCAGCCCCGGCTTTTTCCCCCAGTCTCACTCTACCTGTCCCACCAGAGTGAGAACTTAAGCTTGTTATCTGCAGAGACTTGTGACACTGCTGGGTTCTGGCCCCAGGTTTCCTTAAACCATTGAGTGCCAGCCCTCCTCCTGCCTCTTGCCGCCTTCCTCCTCCAGTCTGCCAAAGCCTCGTTCTTCAGCAGTTTCCTGAAGAGTTTCTCTGCCTGGGCCTCTGGCATACAATTCCCTTTGAATCTGAGTTCATTTCTGTCTGCCCAGGTTACCCAAAGTAGTATTGCTCTCCCAATTTGAGTCACGTACCCCCAACCCTTGTCTGCACTTACCCCTTCCGGGAGCGTACCCAGCAAGGTCCATCTCTCACCTGTCAGGTCTTTCCTCCCTGACCATTGCATCCAGTGTGCTGCCCACCAATCCCACCACCTTTTGGACTTAGGACATGCCCACCAGAGGTGGTGCATAGTCTCAAAAAGCCAGTTACATCTGTTGCAACCCTCCTTGACTGACATGCCCCTTTTACTCAGCCACCTTGCCGTCGGAACTGCCTGGTGAGACTGGAGCCAGAGTAAGGAAGCCAGCTTCTGAGAAGGAATTGCTGTTAACTGATTCCAAAGCTTTTGCATTTCCTTACTACTCGGAGGAGCTAGGTGGGGCAATGCCAATTCCCAATCTTGTCTCAGCTTCTCCCCCTTCCGGACTTCTTTCGCTTGAATCTTCCGTGTCAGAACCGACGCACAGTTTTCCAGGTCCCAGACTACCTCTGACCCCACTCTCCAACCCCACCTCGATGCATCCAACCTCCTTTCAGCATACACAACCCCATCCGCCACCAGCTGCCACTTGACCGGTTCCGTCTGTTGTCGCTGAGCCAACCGTGTTGCTCTAATTTCCTCCAACGCGGCTACCCCGTAGCTTGAGCTGGTCCCCACTTCTCTGAGAATTTGATCTCCTGCTCTTTCCCTCTCGTACATCTGTAGAGAGCATTTCCCAGGAACGGCCTCATCCCACTCAGTAAGGCGCAGAAACTCTTCTTTCGTTCCATCCCTTCTCTTATACCAGGTTCCTACTGAGGGTATGAAACTCGTTCCTAGCTTGACTTTCCAGTCCTCCGGGATCGCCTGTATCAAATTCCCCAATCTCTCAACTTGTTCTGACAGCCTACCCAACTTTTCCTTCAACTTATCCCTGTTAATCCACTGTCCCGTGATTTCATCCCAAATATCCTCTACCCTGGCTACCCCTCTCTGGATCCATTTCATCCCATACGTTCCTGCACCTGTACTCACCTTGAAGATTTCTCCTTCCTTGTTCAGGAGCAGGGGGTTCTCAAAAAGATGTTGTTTGAGAACTTCCGACCTGGTGTTGGGTTCTGCCACCTGATCCGGCTTGCATTTCTGCCATGCTGAGAGAATATCTCTCCAAAATTTGGACTT